AACTGCAGTACGAATCAAATCTTGAAGTCAATGTGGAGAGAACAGAATTATTCCAAGAGGACTCCAAGAAAGAGGAGTGGTAGGGTTAAACTATACAAACAGTGCACGCACAACAGAGGTGTAGAGATTAAATGTAAAGCTTGGCAAAGTCAGATGTCCTGTAGACCTTCCTTGCTGTAGAGAATATAATATGCAGTTACTCTACTTTATGTAATTGTGGAATGCAATTGGTCCCAATAGCCTTGGGGGGAAAGAGAGGAATCACAAAACAAATTCAAGTGAGGAAGCAAATTCATTTTTATTTGGAGAAGCTGGTTTGAAGAGAACAGAGAAAACGAGTTAATCTATTCAAGGTAACATGAAGCTAACGTGAAAAAACGTGTTTTATTTTCAAGTTGGTTACTGTCATGGCATCTAACAGAGTAAATCTCAAAACCATGGTATCTAAACTGACCAGTATCATAGTTTATGCAGAGTTGCTCTCTCTAAAGCAGAATTAAAAGTGGTAATTCAGACTTGGACCAATTATGTTTATATAGTAGTAAAAAAACAAAATCACTAAGTAGTTAACAACATTATGTATAACAATATATAACCCTCACAGAATGATACACAATATTGAGAACTATTAACAGCAATAAGATAAGAAATAGTAGCTTTATGAACAGCGTCATCTAAAAATTGCAAAGAGTCAAATGTCAGAGGTTAAAATGAGCTTCCCTGATGAGTGCCCCTCATAAATACTAAATTGTGAAGAACTTTTGGCGTTAATACAGTTGCCAAAGAAATGCCATATCGATTTTTAACTATATTAAAATCTGAGGCCTAGTCCTTCTAATACTGAACTGATGCAATAATATTTCCACTCCAGTCCATCAAAAGTCATTAGTCACACCTATAATGTGAAGAAGGCAGCAAATGCTACCAGAAGCCAGATGCCCTTTAGATCAAGTCCACCTGATCTTGATTCATTGACAGAAGTCATACAGTCCCTCCAGCCCATGTGATAGCATCTTAACATACAGCTTGGTATCTGAAACCACCAGTGAGAGAGGCCAAAAGAGCAAAGTGAAGGATGCTATTAGTACTCTTTAATTTTGTTTATTAACAGGTGGAGATTTAAAGGTAATATTAACATCCCTCCAAAACACACCATACGCAATGGATAGATGTATCGTAAGAATGGGTGAAGAAAGACTGCTTAAGCCTGCCTCTGACTGGGCCAGGAAAAGGAGACTGTGAACCTAAATTGAATCAAAACACAGCCAGGAAGACCAAATCTGCACATTTTTTTAAATAAATAACACCCGGTAAAAGTGTGGCAACAATCAACAAAAACATAAGTTTAATGTTTCCTTTATACCTATATAATGTTTTCATCTTAAAATCCACCAAGACGTTTGTATCACTAACTACAATATGAAGTTAGGAGGTTCTTTTTTGCTTTTTTTATTAAACTATCTATTACAAAACTGGTGAAGGATTCCTAGTAGCTCAGCACCTTGGCTAGCTGACAGGTTAACGCTTGATATACTGGATTTCTAAATAGTTTGAAGGATAGAATGAGTGAGCAAGTTTGTTTCCTGCACTGTAGGCTACAAGACACTGTCATACAGAAAACAACATACAATAGCTTAATCATACAGGTTTAAAAATAGAAGTAACCACAGCACACTAGCATACTGCACTTTAACCCTTAGCATAAAGTATTTCACACTGGCAACCATGGAGAAAGATTAATATATTTGTTGTTAAAGCATTTTATTCTGCAAATACTTGATAAAAAGGTTAACTCTCAAATGAGCAGTTGACATTATCACTAATTTTACACTGCACATACACTACTTACAAGTGAATTCTTCGAAAAATATAACAATCACTTTTCATATCTCCCTAGCAGGTGGAAGAAATACTCTGAATTCCTGTAATTTTCATGATCTGCATTTTTTTACTTAAAAATCCTATTAGACTGTTTCCTGTGCAACTCCCTGTTGTGTCTAGGTGTTTGTTTACTTGAAAAAGGCTCTTATAAATGAAAACATAGCAAAACATGTGATTTATACTGACAGAACAATGAAAAAAAAAAGAGGTACTGTATGAAGAAGATGATATGCAAAAGCCCAAAGGTCTAAGTTCTGTCTTGCTGTGGAAGAGTTGCTCAATTACACCAGCACTGTATTAGTCATAGAAACAATCTACAACAGCAAACTGCTAGGTAGATCATTCAATTACAAAAGAAAAGTGTTTAAGCTTCCATGCATTTTTGTCTTTATTTGCCTGTAATGTTCCCTCATTAACCCTAGCCAAAGCTTATTTAAACTTTGACATTTTGTAAAAGTAAAATCAATCTGATGTCCCGCCGACATCAAAAAATGAACTGCCACTAGACATAAAAATGAGGTTGTGGTGAATGATCATGACAAGGGATGGTGTCTGTTTATTGCTATAGCTATCTGCAACAACATGGACATGGACTGGAAACAAAAGAGCATTTGTTGTTATTTTGCACATATTTGGTGGTAAGGTGTTTGGTAAAAAGGAAAGGGACAAAAAAAAACAAAACAGTTTAGTCAAATACCTCAGCTGCTGCGGATGCAGCACGATGTCTGTATGTTGCCTGTATGTCTCAAAAAACGATTTTCCTCAGCTCAAACTCTAGCAAGTGATGACCCAATATCTGAAAATGGCATCACCTGGCACTTCCTGTCGAAGGCAGAAACTGGATCGTTTGGTCAGCGGAAATATTATTTTCAGTAGCAGTAGCAGTTATACCTATATTACTCAATATTGCTCAACTGCAGGGAGTTCATTATAGGTCCTAATTTAATTTTGCTACTCTGATACTAACAACAGATGCAACAGAATAGATTTGGTGCAGCTCTTTTGTTTTTATATGGCTTCCTATATATCTTTCTGATGAGGTAAAATTACTGGAACCCTAACCTCAGTCTGTTGTGCTATCAGTTAACATGAAATGAACCCCAAATAACCAAAAACTTGATTTGTCCATTCTGGTTTTTAGGATTCTATTTGATTACAACACAGAACACATTTAGAATGTTTCTGACCTTGTTCCCTTTCATTCTTACTTAAAGTTGTTTAACAGAAGGAGGTCAATTACTGAGGACAGCGCAATATTTTATAGCCACGTCTTGAGCAAGATTAGGTGTTTGTCATTATGATTAAGCGTCCTAATGCTAGCATCTGCAGATCAAGAATATATTACTCCAGCTCTGCAGTATGCCCATTGAGTTCTATTTAGAAGATTTTATCAAGAATCTTTTTAATAAACAGATAATGCTGCCTTTCCCAAGTGGTCAAAGAAACAGCCAGAGGCATAAAGCTTCCCTTGCTCTTCAAGTCACTGCTCTACTCGTTTCTTTAGTGTACTGCTGACTAAATCACATCCTACAGTTCAGATTTTTCTCACCCAAGAAATTCTAAAGGGTATAATCTAACATTTCACATTTGTGAGTAAATATTAGGAGAGACCTAAAATGATTAGAATGCAGAGCTCAAGCCTTGGACATTTCTTGTCTCTGTTTTATTTCAAACAATTGTACCTCACAATGAAACCTTTACCATTAAAAAACAGTACAAAAGCAATTTCAAGCATTCACTCTGCATTTTTTTTATTCAACTTCAGCCATGTCTCTAATGCCTCTGGCATTCTTTTTGTAAAACATAAACCTGACAAGCTAAATGCACAGACTTTTTGAAGATGCAGATCTAGATATCAAATAAAACAAGGTGAATGAAACTACATTTTAAGGTAACCTTAGATTTGCCCCTTTTGATTATACAAGTGTATCCCTGCTGATACAAGTCATGGTTAAAAAGACAAAAAGGCTTCTCTGCGTGCTCTGATACAAGGGCGATAACCACATCACTGAAATATTTGTTTTTCTGCAGGAGCTCCAAATAATAAGAAAAATGAAAATCTGCATAATAATGTAGAAAAAACACAGTAACACATATTGTACATACAGAAACCCTAATAAAGGGTTTAATAAAAGGCACAGTCAGAAATGGCTACTAAGGTTATTTTTTTAATTTTCAAAATGGCGGCATTTCTAGGATGTAATTAAACCAGCATCTGCCTGGCACAGCAGGGGCTGTGCAAAATATTTTTTCAAAGCACTAGCTCCAAAGTTAGCTCTCCGAAGAGAGGGATAAGCATCTATATTCTAAGCCACTGAATTCCTACATGCATGTCTGCGAGGAACAGAAACTCTGCTGGGAGAAGTGCCAAATTCTAAATGGGATATCAACAAATCTCTGAAAAACTCCGTAGTATAAGGCAAAACATACAAAATATGTGAAACTAAATATAAAGCTGAGGAAAACCATATACCTTCTCTCTTGTGTTAATTCTGAATTAATGCATTTGTTTACTTAAATTATTTATATTTATTATTTATTAAATAATTATAAAGAGATATAATAACTTTGAATGTAAGTTAGTATTTAAGAGAAATAAAAATTTTAAGATATGATCAAACTTAATACATTTCTTTTTTAGTTAGGATGGACCCAATGTAGTAACTGTATATCAGTTCTAAAAATTCTACATAAAATTACAATTCAATTCCTCAAACATTAAAGGAGATTTTACTTGTTTATATAAAGCAGATCGTCTGGTTTGGATATTGCTTGCTGTTATTAAAGGAGACATTTAATAACCAGCTGGATGAAAAATAAAAAAAATGGATGGGCATGTTAATCATTTTACCACATAACTGCCAAAAAAATCCATATCCCGTATTAAAATTTGCAATGTATCGAATCACATAATTACACAAACCTGAGGATAATTATAATAAAAAAATGTCACAGCTTTATAATAAGATCACTAACAACATCTGGATATGACATTATCATAACATTACGTTATACAGATTATATTACATTATTTTCTAAATAAGATATAAAATATGATAGGATGGTCTGAATTAAATAGTTTTACATATATATATTTTGTATAAAATCAAAAACAGTACCTTAAGAACTTGGACTTGGCCCTCAGTAGTTATGTCTTTCAACAGTTCACAGAAAGATTGACAAAGAGCTTCAGCGTAATTCTGGAAAGAGAAGAATATAGAATTATATCTCAAGAATTTTGCAATGCAAATTAAAATCTGTTACCATTGCTTCATTAAGAAATCCATTGTAATTTATAATTGACCTTAAGTGCAATGAGTAGCGGTATAAACATATTCCTTTTGTAAAGTGTTCTGTATTTATCAGAGCTTTATGACTGTTGTGTAACAGGTTACGTCTTTTCTAATGTTGGACCAAGTTTTTGTTGAATAAGCCACTATCTTTGGTGCAACATTGTTCTACAGTGTGAAAAAGTGTTTGCCCCCTTCCTGATTTCTTATTTTTTTGCGTGTTTGTCACACTGAAATGTTTCAGATCATCAAACAAATTGAAATATTAAACAAAGATAACACAAGTAAACACAAAATGCAGTTTTTAAATGAAGGTTTTTATTATTAAGGGAAAAAAAATCCAAACCTACATGGCCCTGTGT